AATTTGTAAATGCCACGCTTACGAGACTATTGTTAACAACTTTTATGAAGCATATGACGATAGTTTAATTCATATTGTATCGTATAGTTAAAAAAAGAACGTTTTATTCATATTTTATTGTACAGTAAAAAGAATTGATCTGGGCACGCTTGATGCCATTTAAATCCCCTTAAATATGTCTGGCAGAAGTTGCGAAAAAAAAGAGGATAGAGGAAAGGTTCAAGTACTGCACTCGGACAGCATTGCGGAAAAATATGCAATTCTGAAAAGTATCTCGCTTGCCAGTCACGACTTCGAACTGCTCTTCGAGTCTTTTATCTATAGAAATTCGGTTGAATCGCTAAATCTATCCAATTGCGGTGTCTCCGCACTTATGCTAATTGAAAAGCTTCCGTGTCGCGAGCTTTCCTCTGTCTTGCCTTTGCGCGCTCGGCCGTTCGATTTTTCCTTTGTTCGCGCTCTCCGCGATTCCTTGATTGCGCCGTTCCCCCTGTACGCTGCAAAACGCCACTCTCTGTAGACCTCGACGTCACGTCGCCGCCGCTTGCGTACAATTTACATCTCTCTGGCATGCATATTTTCTCGATATGTAAATATGTTTCTTCCCGTTGTTGCCGTTGTAGCGGCGGCGTTGTGCCACGCCGGCGGATTTGCATAATTGAGACGACGCGGACGGACGAATCTGCGACTCTCCTCGGAGATTTCACGTGTCGACGCGTCTCGTTCTTTCGATACGACCGAAGCTCGAAACAGGCGGGATAAATAAAAGAGAGGGACGGCGATGAAAACTTAATAGGCGCAGAGAGACCGCGAGAATGAAACTCCGCCATCATTAGATGTGGAGGGAAAAAGAGACGCTTTCATTTAAATTTTACGATATTTGCGGCGCAGCATGAAAGCAGGATTAAAGACACGATCGCGGATTTCATTTAATAAATCGCGTGTGTACTTGCAGATGCATATCGAAAACTCTTCGAAAAGATCGCGAATAAGCCTTGCGGACGAATGGAAATCCCAATTTTTCGCCAATACCGACCGATACGAATATGTATCTATTTTAATTTTCATTTATTTCATTTATTTTATTTATTTCATTTATTTTATTTATTTTCAAGCCGTCTGTTTGTTTACGAGACTTTATGATAGCCCGTTCATTATAACTTGGAGTTATACAGCTGTACAGTGATGGGCAGACTGGCTGCAACACTTTTTTTTTCTTTTAATGAGTTTAGGAATCCGCATTCAGGTTTACATCTCCAAATCTTCTCCAAAGAATAGTTTACTCGATGGCCATTCCGAGATCATTTTGCGCGTTTCCGATCTATTTCTCGAGTAAAATTTTCCTCGGAGAAAATGTTTCGGAACGTAAACCTGAATCTAAATGCGCGTTCCTAAATTCATTAAAGAAAAACTGTTGCGACTATGCTGTCCATCACTGTGCATCAGTTTCGCCAATACATATGCGCGCACCCATACACGGAAGAACCGGGTTAGGTGAAAATAATTAAAATTAAAATGTAGCTGTATATATATAGTAAATAGTAGGGGCATCTACATTGTTTTGTGATGCAACATTCACTAAGTTTGCTGCACAAAACGCATATAGTTGTCTCCATTACTTATCAGAACAATGTGGGTACAACCACAGATATAGCTGCCCTAAATATTACTATTTATTGGGGTTGTGCCAACCCTAGTTAAACATGCGGTAACCATATCGGTCTCTCCGCGTAGAAAAAATTTCCGGATTCAATGCTATTACACTTGAATGTACCATGAAATAGGATCAATGTAGCGCCAATTATATTTATTATATAGAGAAAGAAATATTTTAATCTTAAATGAACAATTCTAAAATCTAGAATAAAATAGTATGTATCGTCTTTTGTCGAATGTCGCGGTACGATGCTAACTTCGCGCGTTGTAAGATGGAGGGAAAATTTACTCTAAACGCAAGAATATATAAACTTACTTTTACACAAGTTACTCTTGTCTTCATACAATAAGCCAATCTCTTTTAATTCGATAGAGGAGAATAAGAATTATTGATTTTATTTTGATATTGTCTTATTTCTATGCTAAATGAGGTTGTGAGAAATATAAATGCGTCAAGAATATTTTTGTCTCACAATCAGTGATAGAAATCCTTTCTGAAGATGCGGTTGCGAGCGGCTCGCGTAAAGCCAACGACACACGATACAATTTTTCTTACTGGATTGCTTACGTAAACCAATAAGGATGCAGAGTTTTAAGCCAGAATGCAGAGTTTTCGATCAGATGACTTAAGGCTAAATCCTGATTGGCTCTCGTAAGCCATCCAGTAGGAAAACTAGTATCGTGTGCCGTTGGCTTTAGAACAGGCGACCTAAAGCTAAATCCTGATTGCCTCACGTAAGTAATCCAGTAGGGAAAAACAGTATCGTGTGCCGTTGGCTTAAAACTGCGTGTTACGCGAGACTCGCGATACTTGGAGATACGTACTCTCTAAAAATCAATCGGTGGATCGTCACTGAAAACGGTGAACATTCACTGATTCACTGAATTATTCAATACTACGCTTATAACTGTTTTCAGTGACAATGCACTGATTGACTTTTAGGCCTAGTTTCACCAAACGTCGCTTAACTTTAATCTTAGTTTAATTCGTGTTTGTCTCTTTCTAAAGCAACAGTTGGAAAGAGACCAAGAACGAATTAAGCTAAGCTTAAACAACGTTGGTGAAATCGGACTTTAGAGAGTATCTTAATTTTTCGCGAGTTTCCGTCTGAGCCACGCACACACGGAAACTTTTTTTGTTTTTCAATTTTCATTTCCTCCGCGGTATCGCGGAATGAAAGATTAGATGCGATCGTAGATCCTCGGCGTTCAACCGAGATCTCTTGGCCGCGGCGACCGGTGGCATCCCGTCTGCCTGCCTGCCTGCCTGCCTGCTTGCAGTATTTGCATCATGCAATCGCTACGCAGCTGTGCGTCTGCATAATATATCTGCCGAGTTGCGTAACGCAACAGTGGAATCGTCGCCGAGAACGAGGGACGGTCGTGTCGAACGGCGATTGGGAGGAACGGCCGAAAATGGCGGTCGTTGAATTCTAGAAACTACGGGCTCGGCCCTCGCTCCTACCACGCCGATTGGCCGATTCGTCCTTGGTCCTCGCAGGGGGTCGAAAGCGCTTCCTTCTCCGTGCCGGAGAAGCGTCGCCATCCTGTGGCGAGCCACCAAAGCACGGAAAGCCCCGCGCGAGCGAATTATTCATCGAAACCCACCCTCCGGGCTACCCACCCTCCACCCTCGGGCTGCCCCTATTTCGGGGCCGTGGGGCTGGTAATTTCTGGCAGGAGCGCGATTTTATCGGCCGCGAATACGCAAGGGTTGACTTGCGAAAAAGCTCGCGGGGGATGACGATGGCACTGCTTGTCCCTCGACACGGAGATGCTTAGTTTTTCAAAATTGATAAATTTTGCAAATTACATTTACGAGAAACGAGGAGCCGATTGGACTTGCCCAAGGCAAGATGTAGATAGCCAAATAATTATTAATATGTGAATTCTTATACCGTTTTCCACCTGTACTGCGCGCCGGTTTAAATTACGCTTAATTGGTCAAGTTTATAAATTTGCAAAACTCCATTTGTTGCGAGTGTTCTGTTCTAACTATAGATAAACTATAAATTCCGCAACTTTTACAATGGAAATTTATAAATGGTCGAAACCCGTTTTCATATTTGCAATATATTTTTCTCCACACACTTTTACGCCGCATTAATAGTTTGCTTGAGATTTTTAAAGATCCCTCGCCAATTCTATCGAGACTCGACGAACTTCCTAAATGACAATGAAATCTCCCAGATTGATTTTGGAAAAGCACAGAATAGCTATCTGACCTCTAGATAGTTTCGGAAAACTACGGGATGGTTATTCTCGTCAGTAGCCATACATACATAATTCATGATGAAACGGTATTAAATTAACGTGGGATGTTCGCGGTCTTCGTAACTACGTAACTCCGTATCTACGCGAAGATAATGCCGCGACTTCAAAGCAGCGTTCAAAGCAGCGTTCTTGCTCTAAAAACACCTGATAAAGAAATAACATTGTTACGAGTAACCGTGGTATCGGTGCTTTCAGAAAGGTGCCAATATTTTTCCCCGCCTTTCAAGGGAGAAAATGATGTTTATTAAATAATTAAGAGATAGAATTAATTAGTCAATTATTTTCACGAAAAAGCTAGTCTCTTTGAGTTATCTCGCAAGGCTGTTTCTCACTCTCTTTCTCCTGTTAGTTTTTTTATCATTACATTTTATTTACACGCGCCACCGTGCTCGGTATCTACAAAGAAGCGAATGGCTCAATTTATCTGCGGATAGAAATGAGAAAGGGGAAGATTTACGGAAGATAACGGTCCATCGGGAAAGCTCTATGTCACGATAAAGAGCGCTATCGACAAGTGACCTTACTTTTCGGCATTCTCTTCGCTCTCGATCGCGTCATATTGCGAAAGCCGACCCTTCAGATTTCTTCCAACTACACTCCCCGCACTCGTTATTTCTGCTTCATCTCCGCGGTGAAAGTTTCAATTTAAACGGAGAAACAGTTTCGACGAGAAAAACAGTCGAGAGGGAGTGTTCCTGACAAGCGTTCCTATTTTCAATTTAACCGCAATACACATCTCTCGTGTGATCCATACATGCAAACTCGGATCACGCAGAATCGTCGCGTACGTGTGTCCACGTCGAACGTACGCGCCCGACCACGTGCGCGTACGCATTCGGTGACGCAACGTGTACGCGATGACGTAACGGCGGTTGTGCGTGCGAGAGAGGGAGAGAGAAAGGGGAGCAGAAAGGAAGAACGAGAGAAGACGTGCGCGACATCGAGTCGAGGTAGCGAGTCTACAACAACGGAGCACGACGGCGATGACGCTGCGGGCTGCGCTTGCGTGCGCCCTCGTTCTCTCCTCTCGCGCACACAGGCACACACGCTTCGGAGGCGCGCGCGCGCGCGCGCGCGTGTGCGTCCGCCGCTGTCTTTCACGCTCCTTGCACCCCCGTATTAGGAATACGGTCTGGCCGTCTCGCGGAATCTCGCATATCGCCCTCGCGTACACACAATCGTCGCGCTCCACCTCGTCCCATTGCGCTGCCGGCCGTCGGACAGCTGCGCGACGAGCGTGACTGCCGCGAGTGTGCGTCGACGAGGTGCCAAGGTGTGTTGTCACGTGACGACGACACTGTCGCGACCACGGGGCTCGGTCCCTCGAGTCTCGAAGGGCGGAGGAAATCGACCCCCTTGTCCTGCTGGGTGCTCGCCAACACCATCGCGCCGACGTAACACCGCGCACTGTGTTCAACTGACGACTCCGGGTCCGCGGGACGAGACGAGATTAAACTCGGCCGGGGGCAGCGGGACGGCGTAAATACCGCGGCGTAAGATCGATAAGGGAATACGAGGGAGCCGCGCCGGAGTCCTCCCGTATTTCGCGCTCGCCGTCCGTCGGCCGTTGATGGGAAAAGTGGGTCGACCTACCGCAACACGTTGGTGGAAGGTGAGTGTCTCCGTCGTTACGTCACCGCCACGTTATCGGCCAGAGCAGAGCGGAGTCGCGTTATCGCGGGGGAGGCGACGCGAGTGGCCGAGGTACTCTCTCGCGCGGTTGCGGCGCGAGCGTAGGCCTCTCCGGCCGAGAGGCCTCCACTCTCGTAGGTGTGTCAACGTGCGATTTCCAATCGGGAGGTGCATGCGTGCGTGCGTGCGTGCGTGCGTGCGCGTTGCCGCAGCGTGTTCCGACAGCACGCGCCAGTAGGGGCGCGATCCGCCAGAGGTAGGGTCAATTACGGGATAATTACGGGAGCGACTGAAGCGTGTGACCTCATCCTTCGCGTTTCTCTCCCGTTCTAAGTGAACCTCTCAAGACGCTCGCGACAGCCGCGGGCTTACGCCTCGTCGAGAGATACCCCGGTGTCGCGGACGACCGTCCCGCATGACGTTACGTCGCGCACGAAGTGAGCTTGTGCCATAAATGAGAGAGCAGTATCTCCGCCGATCGATTTCGTGTAAGAAGCAGCGCTGGTCGGCGCGGCCGATGGTATCCGATAAGCGTCTTCGGGGCAATTTCCTGACAGAAATATCCGGCGGAGATGCATCCCGCGCGATAGCGTTAGCTCAGGCGAGAGATTTAATCTTCGCTGCTTGCCGCGCGACGCCGGCGTGTGCACGCACGTAATACTGGAAATAGAAGTTCGTAATGATGATACGGCGGAGACCTTGGCGTCCATCGTCGACGGAACAGCACGCGCTGGGACGGACGTAGACTTTCGTAATGGCATTTAATCGATATCGAGTCGCTGTTTCAAAGTCACACGCCTATGCCCGCACACGGCGCGTCTGCCCGTGGCGGTAACGTTGAAATAACGAAGCCTGAGCGAGTCTCATTCGCGATATTTAACCACAACCATTTGCAATTTATGGTGTTCTCTCGTTTAAAGTACATCTGGTCTGTCGGTTATAATTCTTGTACTCTCGCTGTAAAGTTTCTAATTGGACGTTATTGAAGTTGTCCAAGTCGTTACAATTGCGTCCGTAAGAATAGAACGAAAAGAGGGCGACAAAACGTGAAAATGCACGCGTTATCTTCTGCAGTCGTGGTCGTTGCCGGCAATGCGCATGTGCGGCGAAAAGTGTAACAAGTAGTTCGAGCATTCATAACTCCAGTTCAGGCGTTTGACCGAGTTTCCGCTCGTTGGAATGTACTTTTATATTGCCCCTCGTTTGAAATGCAAAAATATACATATGACGAATGTAAAATTATAGCGTTGACGATAATGCCTGCTTTTCTCGGATGCTCCAGCAGCCTCTTTCGCGCGATGCGAGCGAATCGAGGAAAAGTGACCTTAGCTCGCGGCGATCGTATCGCAGCGATTACGATTACCTACTTCCTCGCCGCGGTGCTAAACACGATCGATCGTGGAGAAATCTTCCCGCGGGCCGCTAACTGGACTGCCTAGATATAGAGACGTGAAATAATTTATTACACCGGTAGTATCCGCGTTTAAAAGCCGCGGATTCACGGGCGCGTCGCGCAGATGCAGATTAGACGGCACCGATCACGGGTGCGCGCTGCGCGCCGAGGGTCGTTAGACGTGACTTCGAAATGACGACAACAATAGGAGGACTCTCGATGCGATCTCTCGTTCCCAGAGTTGTTACACGCCGCCGTTAATTTCGTACCCGATCGCGATAACCTACGCGACACACGCGTGGCGGATCGTAGCCGCGGATAAATCAATATCTAATGGCCGTATCACACTTGCGGTTCGCGTTGGCCGTTGCCGTTGTTATTGGACCAATAAGTGTCTGGCTATTCTGAAGCCGCAAGCCGCCGTTGCCAACCGCTGTTCTCTGATTTGTCGAGACCATGGAATCTGAATGACTACGTTTCCACCGAGGGACAGAGTCGGGCTAGAGTCGGGTCAGAATCGAGTTGTGGGCGCTTCGGTGGAAACACCAAATTCAAACCTGAACCCTGCCTTATAAAATTTTAAGGTAAAACAGAATCGAGGTAAATCAAAAAGCTACTTGTTACTATTTAACATGTTGGCAACACTATAGGAACCTAACAAGACTCTTGTCGTTTCCACCGAATCTCATTTGGTCCACCGAACCACATTTAATTCATCGAATCTCATTAACCTCAAAATTTTATAAGGTAGGGTTCAGGTTCGAGTTTGGTGTTTCCACCGCAAGAGCGCTCACCCCAACTCGACTCTGACCCGACTCTAGCCCGACTCTGACCCTCGGTGGAAACGTAGTCATAGTAAGAATAGACTGCGCGTTCCCTACCTCACCCGTGTGAAAACATGTACGAACTTTAGAACGAGATAGCTGGTGCGGGGCCGTATCTCATCCATGGACTTATATACGAGACTGCGCCATCCGTAGGAGGCGTCGGTCGTAGGATAATAGAAAGAGAGGAAGAGCTGAAGTGAGTCAATGTGTCTCTGTCTGACTTGTTGGTTTTCTCCCCACTCTTAACGCTGAACGAGAGAGAGGGAGAGTATGACTCTTTTGATATGTCTGCACTCTAATGTTTAGGACAGCGCGTCCATAGGGATGGCACAGTCTGGTGTATGACCTCATCTTTGTCTAGTAGAAGCAGTGGGGATAACAGAAGAGTAGGGGAATGATAGAGGTTAAAGGATAAGCATGGTAGCCATATTGAATTTTTGCCCCACTCCAGACATTGATAGACGGAGAGAGAATAAGGTCCCAAGTATGTTGTCTCTTTCTAAAGTTCGTACACTTCTGCAGCCAAAATGCGCGGTCTATATATTATACGTGTATCTATGGCCGAGACGCCAGCAGCCAACGGCAACGCCAACGCGAACCGCCAGTGTGATACGGCCATAAGACGCCATGACTTCGGCGGCCACGACCGCGCGAAGAGGATATAATATTTGGACAGGCGGTCGCTGCGTTAAGTCATTTAACGCCGACGTCCGATAAACCTGGCCTAGTAATTTGCGCCGCGCGACAATTTCGCGGCGCGTGTAAACACAATGAAAGCGCGCCGCGGACTCGTAAAACAAACGAGAGGGCGGCGATGTAGGTGGAGAACATGTACGGAGCCGTGGCTAAATATAGAGAGAGCGCTTTTATGGTGCGCGCGCGCGCGCGCGCGGTCGTGGCCGCGAGGATCCGACGGACCCCGATGGCCTTTACTCGATCGGAGGCTCGCTCTCATTAAGGCGCCAGCGCGTCGTGCGATCAAATTCTCGACGTGATTTCGTAGCGCGAGATACGGGATCGTCGGTGCGATTCCGCGAAGCCGAAGTGCACGGCCGCGTTGCGTTCACGCGTGGCGTTTTCGCGGAGATCGATGGAGGAAATACGAGGTCTGCTGAAGAACTGCTCTTATGAAACGTCGAAAAATTATGCTCGACGTTTCGCTGTTTTACCAAAGAGAATCTAAAACAATTTGGAGAACTCGTACGATTCTTAATTTTTTTCCAACGATGACCTTTTTTCTACAAATACTACGTTTAAAGGACTACGGATTTACGTTTTCTTTTGCGTGAACTCACTGAAAAGGAACTTCCGCTACCGTAGTTAATCATGGTTTGCTAAACATATTTTGCTGCCACAACTGTAATTTCTAAACCACAGCAAACGCTTTGTTGTCGCACCTAATGCAATAGACACAGTAGCGCAATATTAGCTATCACAACTAGAGATTATGTCCATATTTTACAACTAATTTAGTTACCACGCGCAGTTTTTAGCTACGGCAACTAAAATTTTTTTCCCGTGCTTCAGTAAGTATTTTAATAAGCATTCTCCTGGAGCGTGAAATGGATAATAAAAATACTGCGCTTATTGGCGAACCGTATTTACGAAAATTGTTAGATCTGAATTTGGTATCCTCGATCGCTGCGCGTCGATTGAATGAACATTTAATCAACGATCCAATGTAATAAAATCCTGCGTAAGCGTCTTTACAAACCGCCGATAACTTTATCGATTAAAATAATGACTTCCTTTGTTCTTCGAGCGTACTGATTCTAGTAATGTTTCCGACCATGAGAGTACGTTTCGCTCGACTGGCCGTGAAAATCGGAGGAGAAGCCGGGAGACCGAGAAAGTGTACCGAGCACTTCAAGGGCAAATAATTTCCCTAGAAAGTCAACGAAGCATCCTATTAGGAGACGCTTTTTGTGTCAGTTGCTCCGTGTTTGTTAAATCGATTCTGTAATCTTATCGTAACTACTTATTTGAAGTAAAAATCGATTAGAACCTGTACGCTTTAAGAATTTATTTCATTCGAGAAAGAGGATTTAAAGAAAAACTTCACTCAAGAAGACTTCGGGGTGAATCGCTCTCACATTTCGAGAAGCACTATTTGCGAATGTATAACGCGTGCGTAATTGCCGCTAGATACCGCGGCGGTAGTGGACCCGATTGGCCCTGGCGAAGGGAAAAAATGCCCCTTTGTCTCATTTTTTTCGGTCGGACGGTCGCCGAGAGATCGGCCGGCGAGATAAGCGAATCGCCTGCTTCCCGATCCGCAACGGATGATCGGCCGGCGAGAAGTGTGTGAAAGGTAACGTGGGCGGGTGGAACTTATTGCGGTGGGTGGGCCACGTCGAGAGATAGAGAGAGCGTGTGACAGAGATGAACGGCGCGCCGGTCCCTGTGATCGTGCGCGTGACAAGGAGGACGAAGAGCCCGCCGTGGCGCGGGCGAGAGCGGGAGGACGCGGGAGACAAACGATGAAACGAAGCGTGAAGATGCTGCGGCTGTGAGTGCGAGCGAGAAGGAGCGGAAAAGAGTGGTCCTGTTGTCGGGCGTGTGACGAACGACACTCGAATGTAGTTAGGCTAAGTGTGTGCACCTGAGAGGGATAGAACGTCATGCGGGACGTTTTATGCGCGTGTGTGTATGTGCGTGAAGAACGGAGTGTGTGAGGATGATGCGTGCGTGATTGCACGTTGACGATGGTTGGGGAGAGAAGGACGATGAGAAAGCGCACGTGTTGTAGGAGGGAGAGAGCGGGGTTGCGGGACGAGCGGAGGGAGTAGTATAGAGCGAGCGCGTTAGGCTGTAAAATACGCTGGTGATGGGAGAGGAGAGAAAGAGAAATGAAGCTGTGCTCCCGTAAGAAAGACGTGTCGATGAAGTGTCGATGAAGAGAGAGCGAGAGATAGAGGGAGTCTCGGGAACGCATATTGTGGAGATCCACGGGTGTTTGCGTGACCGTGAGGAGGGTTGAAATTGAATGGGCAGAATCACTCATCAGGCGGAGTGGAGAGCCTCGCGGAATACAGTTTCTCGATTTTCCTCGATCGAGACAAGAATTGGCACGATGACTCCGCTACGATATGTCTGTAGTCGAACTTTGATCTCGACAGTGCGAAGCAAACTCTCACCCTTCGAGCAAATTTACGCTCCAACTAGAACCGGTCGCCTAGAAGTGCGATAACGGCTTTGTGCTGTATCGTATCTTCCCGTGAAAGAGAGTATAAAGGGGTGGGATTGACAGATAAAAGCCGATCTCTGTTTAACGTGTTACGATAAAATGATGGAAATATTTTCTGCGATAACAATTATGTAGTTACATTTTATTTCGTGGAGGAAAGAGCTTTTTTCCCAAGTTACATAACTTTGTGTTAAAATTTTGTAATAATATACCGTTGAAAATTTTATAATAATTTTACCCACTGATTAAATAACGTGTTAACGAATGGCGTTATTTTGCTGTTTGCAGTTATTCAATGAGGAACGATATTCGCATTTAGAAGAGTACGATGAGAGGTGGTGCTGGTGATGGTGATGGTCCGTCTATGGTTACCGTTCCTGCTTCGTCGGCGTCCCTTAATGTAAGTACATCTTAATGCACAGTGACTCGCGTGATTGATCGAGTGTTTCGAAAGTTATAAGACATTTATTAAGAGTCCATTATCTCATGGATACTTATTTTGACGTTTTTAGTAGCGCACGAGTGGATAAACCTTCGTTTTGCGACTTCTTTCTTTCTGCGATATAAAAAAGTATGAGATTTTCGAAACGTTTGATCCATTCCTCGAGTAACTGCGGGTTTATTCTTGGGGGAATCGACCGCGAGGTGTCGTGGTATCGCGACGGTGCTTTCGCAACCCAATTATCGCTGCCGACTTTATCACCGGTATATGGGCAACCGTCAGTTGAGTAATGAGCGTGGAGAACCGGTGCAACAAGTATCCCAAGAGTCCGGTAGTCGTACGCAGGTCACCATCGATCGTGTTCGATTAAACGTCTGGCTCGATCAATAGTGCACTTTTAAAGCTGTAATTTCCATCTCCTCTTTTTGCGTCACCGATTCTTGCCTTTTGCGCACACCGAGGCAGACTATTTCGTATCTCGGCCGTCCATTAATAGAATTGCTTTTCCCGAGGTTGTGTCAATATCCGCGCGCACAAACGCGTCGGTTCCAATACTAATTGATAAGTATTTTATGTTATTTCGAAGTTACATACAGATGTTTCTCTCGTATACGTTAAACCTCATATACACGGCGGAAAATGTATTCGACGTTAACATTTGGGCTGACGTCGCGAAATCAAGGTCGCACGCCACGTGATTCTCAGAGGTGGGATTAATGCGGGACGATCTAAAGGGGTGAAGTGAAATGGAGGGCAACTAGTGTTCTGAAGGGAAGCGAGTTCGGGACAATGTGCGTATTCATTACCATGGCAGCTCCGTCATTTGGTTCCATAACATGGTATAATTACGATGCAAATTGATTCAAATCTCGAGATCAGCGCATAGTTCTACAAACTGATATCATTTTATATAAAGTGATGTTAGTTCCTATAATATAATTTAGTGTTTCCCCTCGGGGATTACAAGGCATTTTTGAAGGAACGTACCCAAACCTTATACGTTAATTTATATGTGATGTTAGTGCATATAAAAGTACGAGCGAAAGCGAGAGGAAAAAATCGGGAAAAGAGGGAGAAACTTTTACGTAGCATGTATAATAAGAAAATTGATACATAAAATATAAACTAGAATGACACACTGTATTCTTTTAACGTAAAGAATTATTTAACGCCAGTACACGATTAACCAACGTAGAAAGATTGTTAAACGACACTAACTGGCAAATTCTAATTAAAGCAATTTACCGCGAAAAATATTACCTCAGCCCCAGGGTTTGAACCTGGACTTCCCTGCACTCTAGGCGGCGGGCGTCTCACCAGTTCGACCACTGAGGCATGCGGTAATATTTATACTTTGTATACTGTTACATAAAATATCTTTTTCACGCATGAAGTACGTATTACGCTATAAAAAGTAGTTCCGAGATATGGCATTTCTAATTTTGATATTCGAGAAATGAAAGCTAATATAACGACGATAGCAGCGATCCGCCGCTATCATTTATACGCGCTATCGATAAAGGCCATTAAGGCGCGCGACGTGAAGAATCGAAGTAGCCAGACGTCGCTAAAGTAACCTTCGTGGAGCGTAACCGCTAAAATATTCAGCGGGGAGCTGGCTACCCGGGAGATTATATCGGACTTCTTCGGTGCCTCTTCGCGGGGAACAGTGCCATAAATCATGTATGCCAGTCGCCTTCCGCCACGTAAATTTATCGATTCCACGCGGGGCCTTTCAATTTCAAGAGGCGACGCCGCCGACGTCACGACGCCGGGGAAGGAGACGTCACGGACATGTTTGCGTGATAAATCTTTCGCGTTATCACGCATCGAATGCGCCAAACGTTTCTATCAGTTAAGAGCCCTTATGTCCATTTTCGTCCGCGATCGCGCTCGCGATGCTCGCGATGTCACGCGAATTAATCGTCGCGCATTCGCGACTCCATGAAGGTCCAGGTGCCCATCCTCATGTCACTTTACGATTGCACGCGAGCATGTAGCGATCTAGCCACTATATTGGGGCTGTCACGGACTAGTTACTAATTGGCTTTAAGTACTACGCAAGGCCGTGGCGTTACGGCGGCACGTTCCTCGGAGATGGAGATGTCGGTCGATCGAAGGACAGTTATTTCAGCATTCGCTGCGCGGCAATGGCATTTACGGAGAGCATCCGCCGAACTGGTTTTCTCCGGTAGGCTTCGATAATGCGACAAGCGGCACTCGTTTCGTGGAAAGTTATTGCGGGTAGAAATACCGCGGGCGATTTCTTCGCGACCGGTGCGACACTCGAAAGCTCGAGGAGTTTGAGATTACACTGAAATACGTAACGATTTGGACAATTGGGATACGACTGGGATTCGGGCGGCTAACACGTTATTTTTCTTATTTCTCAAAGTCATATGCGTTAGTTAAGTTTGAACGTTATTGAGTTTCTCTGCGACCTGAACGATATCTTTTACAAATAATGTTAAATAATTTACAAATTTTCCAAGTTAAAGGCTGTTTAAATTTTTTTAATTACGTTGGTCGATGACATCAATCACGTTGGACACATTCACACGTTTAAAGGCGGTTATGCGTTAATTGCGATTCGCAGTTTATGACGACCGAGGATAGCATGAGCGACGACGTATTCGAAATGGACGACGAACGCTCCTCCACCGTCACGAATGTCGTTTCCGGAGGCCTCACGCCCGCAACCGTGGAACGACCCCTCGAGAAGACACCCTCACCTACCGGATACCGCGATTATAAGCCACCTGCCGAGGTGCTCAGTAACAACTACAGCACGACTTTTAGAACAACGAGCGACTTCGACAGCGTAAGAAGCGCTTTGAAGAAGGACCAGGAGAGAGACGATAATTTCGCGCACAAGGTACGCCATTTAGCACGAGCCCTTAAAGAAATTATCTAGTGTTAACCCTTTCGTGACCAAACTATTTTCCATTTTTTAATTTGTTGCCAATATGTTCCTTGCAATAAGAGAATGCATGCTAAATCATTGAGTCTTTCTAAATTTTTTAAACTTATATGTCCCGGTTGTCGCGAGAGGGTTAAGGGGTCATTCCACTTTAACGGCCCAAAAAACTATGCTTATCTTTAACAATTTTTTTCACAGTGAATACACCATGCAATGAAATAAATCTCTTTGGGATTTATTAGGGCACTCTTAAATAAGACAAAAAGATTTTGCCATAATTTAAACAATTTTTTAATTAAGCGTTTTCTACACCGTACGAATGGCGTGTCAAAAAAGATGCGAGTCCGCGGCGTTGATGGCTTTTATGACTCTTAGTTTATATGAGTATCGCTATGTCCCGAACCTGAATTAAAAATGTTTACTTCAAAATAACAAAATGGTGCCAGTTTGAAGAAAAGTTTTAAAAAGTACTTTTCAGGAAGATTTATTTCATTGTGTATTTACCGTGGAAAAAAATTGTTAAAGATAAGCATACTTTTTGATCCGTTAAAGTGGAATGACCCCTTAAGAGGTGAGATCTCGTCCCTTGACGGAGCCTCTGCTTTTTCACGGCAATAACAAATCGCAGTCACCTCGAGGTGACGCCGCGCGCGTAATTCGGCAGCGCGAAACGTCCGCAGACTCGACTCGTCGTCGATCGGTAGATCACCGCGCTTCCGAGTTGGGATTAACCTTGCCTTCCGTGCCAAGGACAAGCCGGCCTCCTCTCCCTTGGCAAACCCGTGAAATAATGATCGGGAATGCCAGAGGTCCGTGGTAGCCGTGGTACGGCCCCCGAGACGATTCCCCCGTCCTTCATCTCGCGTCTTCGCTCACTTCTTCGCCCCTCGCGGCCTCTCTCCCCCGCCGGCCACTCTCTCTTCCGTCTTTTTCTGCACTTCATCACGTCCTTCTCCTCGCCTCGTTCGCGAGCGTGCGAGCTTCCAGCTCGTCGTAAGATTCCTCTGTCTTCGCCGTCTCCTTATCTGCTCCTTCGTTGTCTTCATTCGCATCCGGTGGAACGCGATTCGCGGATAAATTTACGCGCGTTAGATAACACCCACGGCGTCCTATTAAGCCTCTTGGCTGACCGTCTGCGGACATAATCATCTTTCTCGCTCTCTGGTATGCATTTTTACAATCATCTTTACTTCTTTCAAAAGCCACCAGGTTCGGATATATTTCAAAATCTCCCCTTTCGTTTAACTTTCATATTTGAACAACACATGCAAAGTTGTACGGTACGCGATAACTGTGCGATAACAACGGAATTCAACGAGGAACAAAAGCATTATCAGTATGTGATGCGGCAAAACAGAGGAGTGAAATGTTAGACATGTTTTTACTGTTACAACTACAATAATTATTCTGTATTAAAACAAACTCCCACACTGAGAAAAATGTCCGATTAAATATAATCGGATAATCCAATTGCATAATAACAAACGGATATATTCAATTAAATTATCCGATATATCCGATGAAAATTATGATCGGTTTTTCGATCAAACTTCATCGGTAACTGCATTTCATCAGTTGAACCTCATCGGATGTGTCCATAATTTAATCGGAAAATGTAATCGGAAAAATTAACCATCGGAAACACCATTTAATTTATCCGATGAATATTTTGTCAGTGTACAAATATTATAAGGATAATCTAAGATGCCTGATATCTTAACGCTCCAGCTTTTTGACCGATTTGGAATCGTCCTTGACAATTCTTCTCGGAAATTGATAATTGCACACACAATGCGCCGTATCACGCGCGATGAATATTCGCGAGCGGACGAGCGGCGAGCCCGCGAGATCCATCGGAGCTGAATTCCCGATCGGTTTCAGCTCAGATCAGCCAAGAGCGATAACGCGCTTCGCGCGACAGGCGCTAAATATAGGACGCGATCGCGAGCCCCCGTTGCACTTTTCCGCGCGTGACATTTAATTTTATGTCCCGAGCCGTATGCGCGACTCAGCGCGCAATAAAGTAGAACCCAGAAGCCATCGAGCATTTTTTTCCGGTCGCCCCGCTGCAATTAAGGAGAGGGTTCTCTCTCGTGACTACTCAACGTGGAACGGCAGAGCGGCGGGCAGGAGGGGGGGGGGGGGGGCGGCGGGTTTGAATAAGCTACTACACAGGGGGACCAAGTAAAACCGGTAGGGGGTCTACCATCTCTCGAGCCGGTTCTTGCCTTGCACTTTCTTCGGCCGTCCGGGCACCTCGTCAGTACTCACTTCGTACCGCCTATAAAGGATAATTGAAGACCCCAGCGCAGCAACCAGCTTGATTTTTGCAGATTCTCCCCGGGAAGGGGAAGATAAATATCGAATTAAGGGGAGAGAACCACTTCCCCTGGCCTCTCCCCCTCCTTTCCCACCCACGTGCGCCTTCATATCTTGTTTCGCGTTCAACGGCCTTGATTATATTCCGTTTTCAATCCTTCGTGATGTTCGACGGACATTTGGTGAATGTACATTCGGCATTTTCCGACGTGCGAAAACGGGAACTCTTGGTCCCGGAGGATCCGGCGGTCGAGGTTGACTTTCCGAGACTCGCGGGCGTAGTTTTCCTTCCTCCTCTTTTTTTTTCTTCATGATGCAGCACGCATACCCGGTTGAAACTCGGCTAGACAACGCACCGCACACTGACCTCAACCGGCGGTCGTGCATCTGGCGGGCCTCGCGCAGTCGCATACCAATTGAGTTAGCGGCCGTGTGGTAATGCAGAAAGACGGCGGGGAGGACGAAGCGGCGAGACCAACGGCATGTACATACACGTAGACGTCGAGGCATTCCGTACGCGGGGTGAGCTATCTCGGCAGCGCCGATTTCCGGCTTTGCCCTCGGTCCACGCGCGTATCGACGACGCAAATGAAGAGTAAAGGCCGAATCAGACTAGCAATTGTCGACGCGGACTGGATTGGCAATTGTTTTCTAGCCAGTGAGAGTCGAATTACATCGCTGCTTTGCTCTCACTGGTTACAGGACAATCGCCAATCGCAACCCAATCCGAGTCGGCAATTGCCAGTCTGATTCGGTCTTAAGCTCGTGCCACACTACATATTGCGGATCGCATTTCAGCCAATCGGACGAGACAGCCTCGCATCCGATTGGTTGAATCGCGACCCACGATCTGCAATCTCAATCCGATCCGCGATTCACAATACGTAGTGTGGCACGGCTTTAATGCCCGGTTTCCAATGAGTTGTTAGTCATTAGTCAGAAGTTGGAATTTTATGTCAATCCTTTTTCTTTCTGGGTGAAAGAAAAAGGACGGACATAGTTCCGACTTCTGACTTCTGACTAACGACTAACAACTCATAGTTACGACTGTAACAACTATTGTAGGTCTAACTGCAAAACCATGATCTTTTTTTAATTGACGAACTTATCCACGCAGACAGCTTCCCTTTCGAAAGCAGCATTTCGAGGGTCCTGAACTTTTGCTCGTTGCCTCAACCAGAACATGGAATTGATTTTATGTTCTTAAGACAATGCGCAGTCTTTTAGTCGATCTTGAGCAAAAACTTCTCGCGGAAGGGAAATCCTTTGCAGTTACGATATTTTTTATCGATGCTGTTAAAACACCGTTGAGAGCGAGACGTGCGACAAGAATGACGGTTGATAGAAAAGGACGAAGGCTGCGCCGAGGAGCGACCGCATCCACCGCGAGAAATTGCGACGTCCTTCGCGGTTTCACGGTCGCCGCGATCTTCCCGCGTACGGCACCGCGTTCGCTCGTTAGATCTCGTGTCGGTTGTGACGACAATACGCCGCTGCGAACCGTTCCCGGAAACGGCGCGACGGATTTCTCGATAAGAGAGCTCACGTTTGTGGAGGCGCAACCGCAATTGTGGTAATCCAGGGGCGATAACCTCGGCGATAGGACGAAATAATTAAATTTCCTGTGGATGTCACTTGATTCGCGCCCGGAATCTTCGGAATGCTTATCGGGAAATTTTACGCTTTCCCAAGATGTTGATCGACGATACTTCTGGTCGGTGAATAATGCAAGACTTTTCTCGGCTGCAGATCGTCCCACACGAGAAACGTGAGCAATGAAACTTAAACAGCGAGCGAACAGGTTTGTTCTCAAGAACAGCAGATCGGGTCGTGGAAAACACTCGATCGTGATTCATTATCGTTTCTGCTGCTTGCTTCTTTGTGCAATAATTTGTAGAATTAACTCTTAAATGCAATTTTTAGAATGAACCCTTAAATGCGCAACTATCTAATGGCTCTTGGGGAGAACTCGGAGTACAATGAGAAAAGTTTTTATCGGACAACCCAATTGAATAGTGTTGTTTCCGATGGTTAATTTGTCCGATTACGTTTTCCGATTAAATTATGGATACATCCGATAAAATGCAGTTACCGATGAAATTCGATTGAAAAACCGATCACATTTTTCACCAAATATACAATTTAATCGGATGTATCCGTTTGTTACTATGTAATTGGATTATCTGATTATATTTGATCGGACATTTTTCTCAGTGCAGTTATCTAAAAAAAAACAAAATTGAAAAGATATTAACAAGAATATTATATAAACGTAAATCCCGCTAAGCCAAATCCCGCGACGTCTTCAAAATGTCTTTTATGCACGCCATTGTTAAAATACAATGATTCCTTTGGTATTAAGTAGATTTGTAAGAAGAAGCTTTCTGGGAAAACGGCAATTTCGCGATTGTTGCGTCTTTCGATCGTCCTTATCGGCAAATATTGAAATGCTGGGCGAATTTTTAGGCGGATTGGGGCCCGATTGATATTCCGCTCGAGTTTGTCGAACCAAGAAGCCTCGATAGTTAGTTTATTCGAGCCAGAGTTGCGCGTGCCGGGCCAGAAGCGATAAGCATATTCGCGACGCGTCCTCACCGCAATCATAACAGTACATTTTTATTTATCTTTCGCTTCGA